CTGCATAATCAATGTTTGTATACCTAACCCTGAATTGTCCCCCACATCTTTAAAATAAAACAACCGCCCCCAAAAAAACACAAAGTAAAAAATCTTTTACAATCTCCAAAGTCACCAGAGATAGGGTCTATTTTTATTATAGAAATTAGGGAATGCTATAATGACCCCTTTAAACATTACGAGAGTAAATATTTATCAAGATCTTACTGTACTTGGCCCTCTCTCTCCCTCCCTCCCTCCTTTCCTCTCTCCTTCCTTTTTTTCCTCCCTCCCTCCCTTCCTTTCTTCCTCAGACTTGTTGAATTGTTTTAAAGCAATCCCAGACCTGAAGTCATTTTACTCCTACATACTTAGAGTATGTATCTCTAACAATTCTGGTTGACTTTTTAACCGAAGGCTTGAGAAACAATAGAGCATAGTGGTGAACATGCAAGCTCTGGAGCCAGTCAGCTTGGGTTTGAATCCACTACTTAGCAGCCAAATAACTTTGGGCAAGTTTCTTACTGCTTCTATATCTCGGTTTCCTCACCTGTAAAATGAGTATGATGACAGGGATACCGACCTCATATAGTTGTTTTAAGGACTAAGTTAATACTTAAAATGTTAATATTCAGAACAGAAAGCATCCAATAAATCCAGCTCCTAGTTAACTGGAATTTCAAAGAATAATGACTATGGGATGAGAATGAACAATTTCATGAGTATTCTGCATAGAATTTTGCAACTCTTCTAGGACCAGAAATAGACACCAAATTGCCAGGTTAATTTTCACCATTTTCCGGTTGACCTCTCAAATGTCCAGATCATCTTCCATCAGTCATGCTTCTAGCACTAAACTTCCAGCAAGCACAGTCTATATTCACTGTTTCTAGCATCTCCCTTTCACACACAGCACAGAGGGACCCCTGAACCATAGAACTTTGTTTCTACATCTGTGAGGGCCATTAACACATACTGACTTGTATCCTATTGGTTATTGAAGCTTCTGTCTTCTCAATTAAGCTGTAAGGTAACCTGAGGACAGGGACCATTTCAATCATCTATGAAGAAGCCCCTTAGTTCATTTGAATGTAACTCCATTAGAGTCTTGCCTGTGCTGGTCACTGCCAGATCCCAGCAGTAGCTGTTGGATAGGGCATAAGGTTTGTGAAATAAACCAACAAGTTCATTTTGAAATATACCTAACAGCCACTTAGTGAATGCCTGTGGACTGGGACAGAAGTCCCCATAAAGAGTCTGAGGAAAGAGTTTCACCAAAGCACATGAAAAAAAACATCCTGGGTCTACAGAATCACAGACTCAATGGCTGTGGAATAAGAAGAAGATTTATACAGCAATTCATTTATAACCTTCCTGTGATTTGACCTGTACAACATTCCTGCAACGCAGTTAGAGAGGATGTCATGACACCTGGAATTGGCTTAGACCATGGAGGCTCAGTGCTAACTCCAGTCCAGGTTACACCAGATAGCAACACTCAGAGTTTGTCTAGAATCCAAACCTGGTATTGATTGTTGCTAAATTATATGATGAGATGTATGCTGAAAGAGAGCTGTAAAGAGGGTGAAGAATTACTAGAGAGAAGTAGTCACCCATTAAACGGGGAAGACATTTACTGCTTATTTCTTATTATTTCATCACTGGAGCAAGTTTCGCCAGCTCTAACCACTAGAGGGCACAAGAGCAACAGAAAAGAAAAGCGGGCTTAGCGGGTCTGGAGCAGGGGTTTCAACAGGAGACCAAGTCAGAGCCTCAGAAGGAGCTGCTACAAGTCTCCCCAAGAAAGAAGACCTGTACCTCATCCAAGACTTCTGGCCATCAGTCTACCCGGTATCAGGGGAAACTAGCTTGGCCAGCCTTCCCTGCTGGGCCCTGCAGTCTCCAACCAATGCACCCTCTATGGCTCAAACCGTGCACTAAAATTCTGTGTGCCATCCTGGGAATCACACAGATTGTCAAAAAGCTGTAGAGAGGTACCTGATCCACACCTGACATCTCTCAGAAGTCTGGAGTTTGCAGTCAGTGGTCCTCTCGATGAGGATGGTGAAAAAACTTGATGCTCTTCCCCCAGTAACGGACATTGCAGGCACTACCACTGTTTGGGCCTTGGAGACCATTACATGAATGTGATGCACATGGTCTGCACCACAAGCCTGGGAGGTCAATCACATCCTTGCCTATGGCCCCATAAGGCTCCCTAAAGTTCCTTGGCCAGGAGGACATGCCCCATTAGAATCTCCAAGCAGCGATGGCGATCCTTGATGCTCATTTTTCATTGCTCTGATGTGCATCTCTCCCAGCACTTTCCCAGTAACCCCAGGTTCCATCCCTGCCTACTCCATTAAGCTTTGCTTTCATATCGGTATATTCACCTGGTGAATGATTCAGTAGTTGGTGGTACCCAAATGTAGCCTCCGTTTCCAATGACTATATCCTGCCACCCAGTTTCTCGCCTACACTCGACACTCCACAGAATAGTTCTCTCAGCCGAGCTCGGTGGCTCAACCTGTAATCCCAGCGCTTTGGGAGGCTGAGGTGAGTGGATTGCCTGAGCCCGCGGGTTCGAGACCCGCCTGGGCAACTTGGCGAGACCTCATCTCTACAATAAATCAAAAAAATTAGCTGGGCATGGTAGCGCGTGCCTGTAGTTCCAGCCACTTGGAAGGCTGAGGCGGAAGGATCGCCGGAGCCTGGCAAGTCGAGGCTGTGGTGGCCGGAAGCGGCCACTGTACTCCAGTCTGGGTGACAGAGTAAGACTCTAACTCATAAAAATAAAAATAAAAAAAATTAGCCAGGCGTGGTAATGCACGCCTGTAGTTCCAGCTACTTGGAAGGCTGAGGAAGAAGGATCACCGGAGCCCAGCA